AATCTGCCACATCACTATTTATAGAACAACTCTAGCTTTTTTTCTATAAATTTTAACTAACTATTTCTCTTTCGTTTTAAGTCGTAATTTAATTTTGTGTACAGTTAAATAAGATTAATTGTACTCTTCAAAATGATATCCACTTTGATATATTTTGGAACTAAAAAAATGAGACATTTATTGTCAGTCTATACCATGGTGGTAGTGCTTTGTATTACATAAGTTCATAGTTCATACCACTTGGTACACAAAGTGTATCATAGTGATATATGTACATACTAGAGTGTATAATGGTAACATACATGACAGTAGGAATATACTAATTGTACTTACCATATTTCATCATCCCTTAGATCTAGGTACTTATAGTCTCTATCAAAACCAAGAGCGTCAAACTGGTTTATGCCGGTATGCCGGTTTTACAAGTGGAATGGTTATAATAGTGGTACAACTAGTTCATCATGTTTATGCCAATTTATGTTGGTTTTAACAAAACTTTTGGGCACAGAATATAAATAACCTAAACACACTAAAATAACTCTATTGTTGCTCATTGGTTGGCTCACGCTTTAGGAGTTTGGGATCGCCAGATTGTTTGGGTGGATAACCCACCGATCTCTTTGTTGTGTCACCTTGAGACCTATTTAGGTTGGGCTTCGCTGGGCCCAATGTACAATTAATATGAATTTAGGTTCTCGTCCAAAAAAAAACCCTATTGTTTTCCTAAGAAGAGGAACCAGATACTAATTAACCACTTGCCCCCCATAATCCGTCCATTGAAAAAAAAAAATCCACCATCATTCCTCCATTCCTATATGTTAAGAAACCAATTAACCCTACCATTGCATGCAACATGTCAGACCCTTCTTTACTCTCTTCCCATTATTCAGTGCGTGGCTGCGGAAGTCGATTTTCCCCATGGTCAATTAGCCACTCGCCGAAAAAATGTGGATCCAGAAGAAGGGGAAGGGATTTGGAAGGTGGTGATCATCAAGAGCAAAACTTCTATGGCGGGGAAGAAATTGGCGATCTATTTCTAAGGTACGTGTTCGTCGCATCGCGATGTGAATGAACGGACGAGTCGCAATTTGAGGAATGAGAGGGTTGGGAGGCACTTTTATTTTTTTTTATTAAATTCAACAATAACCCTCAAACGACATATTTTCAGGTAAGAGATCGGAAATTTAATTTCGGTTGGACCACCAAAAAATTTCAGATTTTGATTAAGATTGACCAGGATTGACCAGAGCATTTTACCGGAGTACCGGTGACATTCCAACTGGTTTCACCACCAATACTGATGAATCCGGTTCAACCAACCGGCATGCCACATTGCCACTGGCATCACAACTATGCTCAAAACAAGACCCATATCTCGTTATAACGTATCCAAGCCAAATAATTGTAGGGAATTCCTACAATACCTTGAAGTAAGGTAACTTGATTTTTTTACCTGCTATAACAGGTTTCACAGGTTGCATTACGTAAAACACAATAGACATTACATAATGCTTACGTAACGTATGTGTATCTTACGTAACAGTTGTAAAATTTCATTACGGAAGCCTTCCGTAATGGAGGGTTCTTTTAGGTAATGAGTATTTACCTCGCGTTACGTAAAGTGATAAGTCATTACGTAAGTCTTATGTAATGCTTCTAATTTAACTGTTACGTAAGAAATAACTATCATTATGAAAACCTTAAGTAATGAAAGGTCCTTCTCCGTAATGAAATTAACCGTAGGTTACATAAAGTGTTAAGGCATTACGGAAGTCTTACGTAACGCTTATGATTTAACTGTTAAGTAAGAAACAACTATCATTACGGAAGCCTTACGTAATGAATGTGTATTTTACGTAACAGTTGTAAAATGTCATTAAGAAAGCCTTGCGTAATTGAGACTTCTTTTACGTAATGAATATTAATCTTGCGTTATGTAAAGTGTGAAATCATTATGGAAGTCTTACGTAACGCTTCGGATTTAACTGTTACGAAAGAAACAACTTCATTACGGAAGTCTTACGTAATTGATGTGTAGTTTACATAACAGTTGTAAAATGTCATTACGGAAGCCTTACGTAACAGAGGCTTCTTTTTTGTAATGAATATTAACCTTGTGTTATGTAAACTGTGAAGTCATTACGGAAGTCTTACGTAACACTTCTGATGTAACTTTTACGTAAGAAACAATTGCCATTACGGAAGCCTTATGTAATGAATGATTATTTTACGTAATGAAATAAATGAATATTAACGCCATATTACATAAAGTGTTAAATCGTTAAGGAAGCATTACGTACGTAACACTTGCGATTTAATTATTACGTAAGAAATCATTTTTTTCTATTACTTTTATGTGATGGGTATGTATTTTACGTAATCGTTGTAAATTTCAAAAAATATTTTAAATGAAAATATTAGTCATGGTGTTTGTTTATTTTTAGTAAATAATTGAGAGCACATGAAATGAAATGGCACCAAACTTCCAAACCTTTGACTAATTTATAATTTAAAATATTGTATAATTTTTTTGGTAAAATTATTTAAAAATATTCAAATTAAATGGCAAAGAATGTTGCTTCAGCATTTAGAAAAAAACTTCAAAATTCTAAAAAAAAAAACTACAAAAAGAAAAGTAAAAGCCTTCCATTGACAACTATGGTAATGACTTTAATGCTAGTAATGAGTATTCATTACCAGTGGCTTAGGATAGAGTCAGTAACCAATGGTTACTGACTCGACAGTAATTAAACCGAGATCGTAGATCTAGGAGCAAAATAAACGTACAGTTAGGCTGCACGCGAAGCAAAGAGGGGCATTTATGTGAGATTTTGGAAATTTTCTTTCTTTCCTTTGTTTTTATTTTTTCCAGCATTTATATGCTGTCTTTTAATGGAGGAAAGAGAAAAACAAATTTCTCTCTTCCTCTTCCTCTCTCTTTCCTCTTTCTCTCTTCCTTCTCTCTTCCAAACTCTTTTTTCCAGATCTAAATCTCATTTCTCCTCTTGTTCTTCATTTTTTTTCTCCGATAATCGACAAAGAAATTGCAGCCTCCCACCTCAAATCCGGTGACGCTCCAAATCCTTCTTGTCTCAAGCTGCTCCTTCCTTCTGTTTTTTCTTTTCTCGGTCTCAAAATCGATGACGCTCCATTTTGTCAAAAAGGGGACAGATCTAGGTAAGTCGAGTATGCATCTTTTGCGCGCATGTCCTCCACCTTACACTCCTCGCCTTGGATCCGCGTTGAGTTCGTTCCAAGGAGGCTGAACATATTGGCGGATTGGGTTGCTACACAAGCTAGGCTTGGTTCATTACCTGTGGATTGGGTTGTAATTTCTAGTATTATTGCTCCACTGTTGTAATGAACTCTCACTTCTACTTGATCGAATGGAATGGAAGTCTTCACTGGTAAAAAAAAAAGAGTTTGCATCTTTTGTGTTTTAGTATTTGTTTGTGAATTTTCAATTCCGATCTGCCTCCTCTTTTTTCTTTCTTTTTGCATTTGGTGTTCTTGATTGTGGAGGAGTAAATGAGAGGAGACAGAAAACGAGTTTTTTTCTCTTCCTCCTTCTGTTTTTCCCTTCTTTGAGAATATATATTGATATTACCACACTATACCATATGGTAATGTGTGCTAACTAAATGTATTTTTGTAGTCACAAGTTTTATCGTGGTGGTAGTGGGTTGGTAATCGACACCAGTTCTGAGAAAGAAGAGTTAGAAGACAATGAAGAGAGAGAAGAAAGTGAAGAAAGTCGTAATTGTATATATATATATTGAGATTACCACACTATACCACATGGTAATGTGTCTATACCATATGGTAATGTGTGGTACCGAAATGTATTTTTATGAATATCATGTTTTTACTATGGTCATAGAGGGTTGTAATTAGATTTATATGGTTTTACCTTCTCATACCATGTGGTATTATATGGTAATTATAATTAATTTGTGGTCCTTCGATTTACCATGTTCTACTATGGTGGTATTGTATGCTAGTTAGATTTATAATTTTCTGTAGTGTGGTTTACCAAGTTATACCATGTGGTATGGTAATTAGATTTGTAAATTTCTGTAGCATGTTTTACCACGTTATACCATGTGGTATTGTATGATAGTTAGATTTGTAATTTTTTTTCAATGTATTTTACCATGTGGTATTGTATGGCAGTTAGATTTATAATTTTCTTCAACATATTTTCCATGTTTTACCATGATAGTATAAAGTGATAATCATATTTATACTTGTAATTAGTGTCTTTAGCACTGAATTGTTTAACGAAAAAATCATCATTCAATTTGAGTTGGAATTAGAATAGAGATTGCTAGGATGGTTAGATTCATTTTTGTTGTAGATGAGAGAGAGAAGAAATAATGTTTTTTTTTTAAATAATAAAATGAAACGAAGAGTGAGAGAGAAGGGAACCAGTGGGGGGAGTGGGATCTGCGTCTGGTCAAAAAGTCAGTGTCAGCGTCAGCATTAAATAGGGGGTGCAATTTACCATAGTTCTCTTCCGTGTTTAATTTAAATAAAAGGAAAAAGCTGACACGTGAATACAGATGATTCAGTTATTGACAGTTACTGATAAGAAGGATACTGACCTGATCTGGTCCCATTACCAGTCCGGTAAAAGTTAAAAACTAAAAACAACTTTCCACAAAAGAAATACATTCCATAAAAATAAAAAAAAATTGTACGTTTTTTGTTTTTTAATCAATGGTCCAAAAGGTATTTAATTAATTTTAATGGTTTAGATTTATACAAGTTATCTAACTTAAAATTATACTCAAGTTGGAGTTCCCAATAATTGTATTGTGTCGCCAAATCCAATTACTCTGTCCGAAACGTGTCAATTAGGGATGGCAATGGGTAGGGTCGGGTGCGGGTTTATCCTATACCAACTCCTAACTCGTCGGGTAGAGCCTTCTAAAATACCCAACCAAATAACCACCGGGTATGAAAATTATATAACCATACCCTACCCACTGGGTAACCACCGGTATTCGGGTAACCATGGGTACGAATCCTAAACTATGAACTTATACACATATATGCACATACATACTGTTGTCCATTAAAAATTCTCAATACTTGTAACTGTTCTAGCTTCAACAATCCACACAAATAAAAATAGCTAACACATAATAATTGTTCTTGCTTCTACAATCCACACAAACATAATAATCGTCTACATCTTCATCATCAATAATGGTAGCTAAACTCAATTTCTCAAGCTAATCTAAATTTCTCAAGGGAAATTGACCCTTTGGTTAACGGGGCGGGTATAACGGGCGGGTATTATCGATTACCATACCCGTACCCAATGTAGTCAAAAGCGAGTTTCTACATAGAAACGTTTTGGTGATCTAGAAGCGTAAAATCGTAAGTTTTTAAGTTTTAAAGCGGAGTTTTTAACTACGTAAGATTTTGTGTAGAAGCGTTTTAGTGACCTAGAAGCGTAAAATCGCAAGTTTTTAAGTTTTAAAGCGTGATTTTGACTACATTGCCCGTACCCTATCTTTTATTTTGAAACCGGGTATTACCCGTACCCACCCTTAACCCGTCAAAACGGGTAATTACCCTCGTTTATCGGTTACGGTCGGGTAGGGTACACATGCTTACGAGTCGGATTGACATCCCTAGTGTCAACTTGTCACCAATAACATTGTCCCACGTACGAGTTCCGCCACATCATCAGAAAACGAGAAGAAAGGCCATCTGGCTTTCGGTCCCACCGATTTTTCATTTTTTGTGTCTTCCTGCTTTCTTAATTCTTACCTCGCTCCTCATTCCATTCCATTAGATTCCTCATTCCTTTTATTCTCCTCCCGCGAACCTCGCAGCTACGACGTCAACCCGAAAAGGCCTGCCGTTTGATCGCAAAACCAGCTGCCTTTCCCTATCAATTCCCATTTTTTCAACCGGCGCTGGCTTCCTATTTGACCCTTCTGCTTCAAAATTCCACCTCTAATTCGCCGGCCGTGATCCGGCTTCCTCGAAATCCTCCACCCACCGTCGAACTGTTTCTCTCCTCCTTCACGCTTCCGTATATCTCTCCTGCAGCGACGGTCTTGCCGTTACTACGTGCATATGGATCGGAGGAGGGCCGGGAGTCCGGTGTACGGGCGGCAGTGGAGTGGAGGATCGAGCAGCACGGGTTCTTCCTCTCCGGCGATGTCGCCAGCGCATCCGAGCTCTAGGCTGGGAGCTGGCATGTCTACCATCAAGCGCACACAGAACGTAGCCGCCAAGGCAGCTGCTCAGCGGCTAGCTCAAGTCATGGCATCGCAGACTGCCGATGATGACGAGGATGAAGACGATCTAGGGTTTCGGTTCAGTAATCAGACATCTGCGCCTCCGTCGAGCTTCAGCAACAGTTTCAATCAGAACGGAAAGAGTAGTGCTACTCCAGCCATTTCTTTTACTAGAGGGAACAGATCTCCGTCCCCTGCGGTAATTCAGCTCTCTGATACGTTTTCTAATTTTAGCTTTTCCTTGCTCCTGAAGCTCAATTGGCCATATGAATCCTATTGATATCCGGCGGAAACTGCTCTGAGCAGGTCTTCCTCCTTTGATTTTGATTCCATCGTAGTCTTTACGTTTTCCTTCAATTCTTTTATGCGAGATGATAGCTGATTCGGATCTGGTATTTTTGCATTAGTTAGGTAGAAACTTTGTAGAGCAAGTTACTCAGCCTCGATCCTCATCAACAGGGCGATCAACAATGTCTGTTCGAACTTCATTGATGCCGTCTAGTAAGTCAACTTTAAGGACTTCCGTAGCAATACCGCCCATTGAGCCTCCAGCCATCAAGACCCGGGATAAAAGGTCGTTTAACTTGCTATCAGTAACTTGATGTTTTATGAACTTCCGTGGGATCAAATGGTTGAAGTTTCATTACATTCAATTCATTACTATCCTTGCTGTTGGGCTGAGTGCTATTTGTCGGACACTACAGGTTTAGTGCTGATGTGGGGCAGCTTAAGAAAGACAATGGAGATCAGCGTGAAGCATCTGCACTTCGTGATGAAGTATGTTACTCTCAAAATACTCATTTGTGTGCAATGCCGACTATTGTTCAGTGACTTCCTGGATGGAACATGGGGCACTACTAACTTTTTTTCCCCCCAGCTTGATATGCTACAAGAAGAGAATGAGGGCATACTTGACAAGGTTTGTCCGCTAACCATGATATAACTTAGTGTTTGACATTGTTTGCTTAGTACTCATGACTCTAATCTGAGCTTGCTGTACAGCTTCGGCATGCAGAAGAAAGACGCGAGGAAGCAGAGGCTCGTGCAAGAGAACTTGAGAAACAGGTTCTTACTTCGGTTTTTGTCATGTTTTTTTTTGGAACTTGGAATGCATTCATATATATTGGTTAGTTCTTATTCCTATGCCTTTGAATTTGTATAACAGGTAGCTGCGCTTGGAGAAGGTGTTTCCCTTGAAGCTAAACTCTTGAGCAGGTGACCTTGATTGCTCCTATATCCTGTACCATTTGCCTGATGTGACAACTGACAATCCTGAATTTGATACCTCTTATTGTGCAGGAAAGAAGCAGCATTGCGTCAAAGAGAGGTGAGCATTGAGAAACTTGATTGCCTATTTATGTAAACATTAGACAGCATCATATAATGTGCTTGATTGAATGGAAAAATCTCTGTAACAGGCCGCTTTAAAGGCAGCAAAGCAGACAAAAGATGGGAGAGATGAGGAAATTGCATCTCTTCGCTCAGAGCTTGAGGTAGCTAAACATTGCTAGTAGCTGGCCTTTGTTCAGAATGTTCCAGTTTTCTTCCAAGGAGTCATGCTTCTCTTTTTGCTTAATTCATTCAGAATATAAAGGATGAGACAGTAACAGCTGTGGAGCAGCTACAGGAAGCAGAATCTGAAGCCAAAGCACTACGCACGATGACACAGAGAATGATTTTGACTCAAGAAGAGATGGTCCGTGCATCATTCCATGCTGAATCGTTCATTCCAGTTTATGGATTGTGATTATGTACTGATTTTTTTTTAGGAGGAAGTAGTTTTGAAGAGATGTTGGCTTGCTCGATACTGGGGTCTAGCCGTTCAACATGGTAATGAATTTTATCCATTTATTGGGTGCTTACTAGGGAGATGATTTGTTTCTTTATTAATGAATTTACTGGAGATAACATGGTTTGCTTGTTTTATATTCCCTTGCCTGTAGAATCATTTCACATTATACTAACCTTTTAGAAGTTAGAACACAGTGTAATTTTAGCTTGATTCTTGCTAAAAGGGGAAGAAGCCTTTCTTTTTTATCTGTAATTTTTATGGTGTCACACTCACCGATGATCTCCCTTCCATTAGTTGGTTTACTTTCACAGATGTGAACGTGCTTGGAACATTATGTGTCTTCTTTTGCTTTCCAAATTTTTTGTCTTCCTTCTCTTTGGTGAAAGTTTTTTTTCTATTTTTTATTTTTTTTATTGAGGATAAAATAGCGAGTAAACTCTATGCTAGTTTTCCTAGAAGCATGCAATGTTCCATTGTGTAGCAACCCTATGGCTTTGATCTTATGAGTGAAGATATGTTGACTTTTCCAAATCTTATTATGTACCAGGAATTTGTGCCGATATAGCAGTGTCAAAGCATGAACATTGGTCTGCTTTTGCTCCCCTTCCGTTTGAGGTTGTCATTTCTGCTGGACAGAAGGCCAAGGAAGAAGCTCAGGACAAAGGCTAGTTGTTTTGTTCCTTTCCTATTTCTCATTTTGCTTATTTTTCGGCATATATCTGCATGAAAGTTCTGCAGGTATTGACCATTTTTTCTTCTAATGATGCAGTTGGCAATAGCTCAGATCGGAGTAAGTCTGCTCGTGATTTGAGCGATTTAACAGGAGAAGGAAATATCGAGAGTATGCTTTCAGTTGAAATGGGACTGAGGGAATTGGCTTCTTTGAAGGTTAACCTTTGAACTTCTGAACTATGGAAATCCTATACGTGAATTTTTTTCTCAAGCTCTTCTCTGCAGTTGATAAGAACCAATCCAAATTTTATCCTATGTGGTGATAATGATTGATCTGTTTTTCAGGTGGAGGATGCTGTTGTGCTTGCATTGGCCCAGCACAGGCGTGCAAGTAAGTTGCTCAAGTTAACTTTCATTTTTATCAAATTTATATTGAAATAACTTAACGTGCTTTTGATAAACATTCAAATCATTTTATGGCCAAAAAAATAAATAAATAAATAAATCAAAGCTTTTATTTTAGTTTTTTCATCTCCAGCATGATCTTTATGTTTGGCCCCTTTTTTAACATTACTTTCTGCGATCCCACAAGTTATGATTGATTAAAATTCCACGCAAAACCTTTGGAACCTGTATTAATCATGAACTGTCAGTTGGTCGGAATTTTTTGTTTTGTTTTAACGATTGAACCTCCTTCACTTCAGTTTAACCATGACAATTTTCATGAATCATGTATGAGAAAAACATCTTGCATTAATACTGAATGCTTGTAACTTATTGCTTTCAGATTTGAGAACTCTTGGTGATCCCAAGTATTCTGAAGCCATTGGTAAGAGATAAAACTCTCATTCGTATTCTTCAGGTTGGGCTTTGCTTAAACGTCATTAATTAAACTCTACAATTAATGCAGAGTTGAGTGAAGCTGAGGCAGAAGATGTTCTTTTCAAAGAGGTAAGTTGCTTACCTTATTTTTTTCATGCTTATGAAAATCGTGAGAACTATAATGTTTTCAAGTGTTCCCCATATATTTCCTTCCTCCGTCTTTCTTTGTAAACAACATCTCGGTTGATAAGGACAACTGTTCTTAGCTTTTTCTAGGAATTATAATCAAACCTACGAACGAGCAACCTTTATTTCATTTCTTTGCTGTCCCTGTACTTGATAACTTTAAAACCAAAAGAGACTAGCCAGGAATGTAGATATTATACAGGCCATGTATCTGAAGGGCATTGTTTGTACTTGGAAAATATATTTCATTTACACCTTTATCTGAAGGGCATTGTTTGTACTTTGTTGTAAATGATTATCATCACCATACGTGACCCAATTATTTGTTCAAGTACTGACGTTGGCTGTGGGTGCTTTCCTTGTAATCGCTGTGTAAATCCAACTTAAAATGTTGATAAGCTTGCTTTGTGGTATAAACACTTCACTGTAGTGTATTTTTTTGAATGCTGACCAACTCCTAAATGTGTTTATTGTTAAATGTGAAAAGTCATGGCTAACATATTTCTGGAGAAGAGCCAAAGCGCATGGCGTGGAAGAGGATATAGCAGAAGAACGTCTTCAAGTCTGGATCAGTCGTAGTGGGAAGTCACCCACTTCACATGATGCTGTCGATGGTAAGCCTCTCCCTCTCCCCCTCCCCCTCCCCATACACAGAACATAGGCATAGCAGAGGCTCCTGCCATAATATATCACGGCATTTTGATATTCTTTACGTTGCGCGTCCATTTCTGCAGTTGAGCGAGGATTGGTTGAGCTAAGGAAGTTGAGCATAGAGCAACAACTTTGGGAAGCATCACGGAAAGAAATCGACCAGCCCTCACTAGCCAATCATAAATCTTCGGCAGACTCGGACCTCTCATCGTGATACAACTTTTTGGAGACCTTTTCTTTCTGTTGCGGTGATTATACGCCTCCCTGCGGCCTTTTTCTTGTTCGTTCTTCTGTAAGTTGCTTGTATCGTTATCTTTCTTTGTGTTGGGCACCCATTTGTAATTCTTCTTCCATTCTCTTCCTGTTTTGGTTCTTTCCCCTACATTACATGCAATTGGTTTCCGGTGGTAACACCTATCCTCTCATGAACACTTTCCACATTGCCAAAGTCCTATCTCAAGGGACAGTGGGATAATAATCGAATGGCTGCATATATTTGTTAGATTGCCTATCGATAAACTCGATGATGCAAATATAGTTGGAGTGTAACATTATTTTCTTATGGAGCAGTTCACTTGAAATCATAGCATCTTGGAAAGTTGTTTGTTTTCCATTGTTTATGAGTGTTTATGAGCGTCCACCAATCTCGGACCGGAATACTCTCGGAAGGTGAACATCAATCCAGATGGATCCCACCCACTGCGGGTCGGGTGAAATCAATACGGATGCGGCAATTTTCCGTGATGGAGGGATTGGTTTGGGCATGGTAGCAAGAGGCGCAAACGGCCAGCTCTTGATGGCTGCGAATAAGAGGCTTCGTGGAAGTTGGGATGTGGAAGAAGCGCTTTTGTAGCAGAATTTGGCGTGCAGCTCGCGAAACAACACAACCTTATGAACCCCGTCTTGGAGACTGATAGCCTTAGGCTCGTCAGTAAGATTGATGATGCAGAGCAGATTGAGTCAGAAATTAGAGTTGTGTTGAAGTATCCGACGATATCTTGAGGAGTCGGGCTTGGGATCTTGGCAGCATATTCACCGCGAAGGAAATATGGCAGCGCATTGTATGGCTCATTCAGAGTCGTGTTGGGACGAACGAGTAGTTTGGGTTGATAGTCCTCCATTCTTTTTGGTTAATCAGTTAATGTTGGATAAGGTAGCAACTTATACTGGTTAATAAGAAGCTTCACAGATTTCCATAATAAAAAAAGGAATTACGTATTCAAATCTTCGATATTAATTATTGTCTTAAAGCATGTGTATGGTGTGTTTTCAAACTTATTGGTTGATTTTCGTTTGAAGAGACGCGTACAAAATTGATTAAAATTTATATATGGGTCTTGAATTGTGGGTTAGTTTTCGCGTTTGAAGAGGCTGAAAATCAAGTGGGGAATATGGCATCCTCAATTGCTGATCTTCCGATCGAGCGAACAGTAACGGATGCCATGAATGAGGCTTTGATAGTTGAAGTTTAGTCTAATGAAGTGCGAAAAATTATTTTTTTTCGATAGGGTCGCAGCGGGCTCCGGACTCGGATGGATTCGCAGGCAAATTCTTTAAGGGCTTTTGAGACATAGTGTGCGAGTCGGTGGTTGCCTGCTCCTTTAGAACGGAGCAGATGTTTCAAAGTTTTAACCACACTCGGCTGACATTGATCCGCAAAGTGGATATGTGGAGAATATGAGACAACTGAGACCTATAAGGGAATTTTTCCCAATATACCACCCAAAAACTTAAAAATACCAAAAATATCACCCTTTAAAAAAAAAAAAATCCATCTATGCCACTATTTCACAAGGACTACATCACCCTGTGGCGGTTTACAAATAAACTGCGGCGGTTTACAAATAAACTGCAGAGGGTGGTGCGGTTTAAATTTTGGTAAAGAACCGCAATGGGATCCGAGGATCGCTTAAGACCCGATTTTCCAAAGAAATGGGAGGATCGTGATGACCTCTTAAGATCTCATTTACTTAGGCATGCAATAGCTTTATACATAGTCTAAGCAAGTGTCACATTATATTAGCCCAAATCATTGAAAATAATCAATATGATTAACCATTTACACAATTATAATCTAAAGCACTAAGTACGTTAACAAAATAAACTATGCCAAATGTTGAAGAATTACACGTACCGACAAATTCTTTGAAACATCCTTTGAATGATGGTTAGGTTGGTCGTACATAAAACTTGGATTATGGGATCCTATAGTTAAGATAATATCTTTGATCATATATATTTACATCCACATCCACATCAACCTACAATATCATAATAAAACATAAATTAATTAGTATATAGATTAATTGAAAAGAATTATAAGAACTAAAATAAAGAGAAGAATGAGTATGTACTGTTTGATAGTCTTAAAAAAAAAAATTTCTTAATAGTACCAAATTTGGTTTATTTTTTTATAGAAGGCGAACAAAGGTTCAACGTGTTTTGGAGGAAAAAATTTAATAATTTTTTTTCTGATGATAGTTCAGATTTAGCCGCAACCAATAGACAATGATTTTTTAAGGTGTCGTTTGGATGGATCAATTGCAAATGAGACAATTTAGTCAATTGTATCGTATTACAAAATGAGCCATTTAAAACGAGTCAATTCAAATTACCTATCCCCACCCCATACAATTGTAATTGCCTTAAAATGATTCAATTCAGAATTCCCCATACAATTGTAATTGCCTTGAAATTTTATGCTGCCTAATGAGTCAATCTGGCTCAATTGTGTAATCAGATTGATCCATTAGAATTCCTCATCCAAACGACCCCTAAGTTTGGGTGGAGTGGGAATGAGTGAAGAGAAAGTCTTAATGAGAGAGAAGGGAGAAGGTTTGGTGTGGAAAAAATGAGAGGGGATGGTGGCTTCTACAGACGCAGCTTGTTGGGGGGGGGGGGGGGGGATAGCAGTTTTGGGGGATTCCAAAACCAAAACCGTCAAACCACATGGGAGGTGGCGATTTTTGTGGAAGAGACGTGGATGGAGGTAGCGGTCGTGCGGGTCGCTGAGGTGGCGGATGGTCATTTGCTGGATCGCAGGGGAATCCAGCGGACAATCGGACCGCAATGACCCCACACGCTCTGTTGGTGGTAGAAACAAAAACCGCAACACCCCCCTACGGTCCACGTTTTAACCTCCATGGGGGGTGCGGTCCTTGTGAAAGGGTGGTATCAGGTATGGATGATTTTTTTTTTTGGAAATAGTGATTTTTTTTAAGTTTTTGAATTTTTGGGTGGTGTATTGGGAAAAAATCTATCCTTTAAGCCTATGCCAGTTCGTGTACAAAAGCATTTCTAAAATTATGTCTGAACGGTGGTTCCGTTTCTCCCACAGATGATTTCAGAAGGGCATAATGCCTTTATCTGGGAAAGATAGATGGTGGATGATGTCCTCCTTGGGCATGAACTGATCCCACTACTTGAAAATAAAAACTAAGGGCAAGAAAGGGTTTATGGCTTTGAAGGTTGATATAAAAAAGGCTTATGACAGAGTCAAATGACCTAGTCTGCTCGCGGTTTTGGAAAAAATGGGTTTCTCCCAAACCAGGATAAGATATTCAGGAATGCTTGAGCTCATCGTCTCTCACTATCCTTATGAATGGCACCCCTTATGGGTTCTTCAAACCAGCGAGGGGAGTTTGACAAGGTGACATGTTGTCCCCCCTGCTATTTGTTACCTTCATGGAGGGGTACGCGACACTCATTCGAAAATCAAATGATGAAGGAAAATTAGCAGGCGTCAAGATCGCTACCAGGGCTCCACGGGTTTCACATTTATTTTTTGCGGACGAATCATACGAGGACTGGTGCAAGAGCCTGAGAATCTGCTTGAGGTTCTGAATGAGTATGAGGAACTCAGTGGTCAGAGGATCAATTTAGCTAAATCTGTTAGTAAGAATATTTTGCAACCTGCTCACACAATTATTGGTGTAGGGGTGGTAGGGGTGCAGGACAAATACTTGGGTCTTCCCATCCTGACTGCTTAGTCAAATGTGGATATGTGCCGCTTTCTGGAGGAAAAGTTAATTCATCGACTGCAAGGATGGTTGCAGAGGACTTTATCATGGGCGGCAAAGGAGACATTGATCAAATCAGTTGCTATTTCACTGCCATTACATGTAATGTCTTGCCTCAAACTCTCGCTCTCCTTTTGCCGAATTCTAGATAAGCATGTGGCTCGATTTTGGAGGGGATGGGGGAGAGGGTGGTTAGTCTCGTAACTGGTGGATTACTGGTGCAACATGTGTCGAAGCAAACACGATGGAGGGATGGGGTTTCATAGATTAAACATTTTAATCAGGTCATGTTGGAAAAAATTGGGTGGCGTATCCTTAACGAACCTCAGTCCCTCCTGGCCCAGGTTTATAAAGGAAAGTACTTCCCTTCGACATGATGACATCCTTCCTTACTTCTACCGCACGCTCTCCACCCTCTTGGGACTAGTAGAGTATTTTGCATGGTCACCAATTACTCCAGCAAGGATTGCCCTAGCAGATTGAAAATGGGCTTAAAGCATCTATCCAAAATTCAAGTTCGGTTCGTGGCTTACTTCCTCATTCTCTCCCTCATTACCCTCAGGTGATACCAGAGGGGAGTGAGCTGAAGGTGGTCAAAATAATGGTACAAGGGGAAGGACACTAGTGTAGTGACCGGATCATGCATATGTTCTTGCTAGACGTTGTTCAGGCCATTAGAGCGATTCGGTTATCCCGAACGGATATTGATGACTCCTTGATCTGGCATGATACTCCTAATGGGATATTAACTTTCAAATCAGCCTACCATAGAGTAGTTTTGACTAATCGACAAAGAGGTAGTTGGCGTCCCACTGTTAATTGGATGGATAGAATGAGTTCGATTCGGTTGTGGGAGCTCCCAATCCCACCAAAACTTACAATTTTCCTCTAGAAAATACTCCATCACACTGTAGTCAAAAGCACATTTCTATGTAAAAGCTTTTTGATAAACTAGAAACGTAAAAATGTAAGTTTATAAGCTTTAAAGCCGTTTTTAACTACATGCATATGAGTTATAAAATTGGTGATTTTGCATAGAAGTATTTTGGTGAACTAGAAACGTAAACGCATAAATTTTTAAGTTTGAAAGTGAAATTTTGATTGCATTGCTCCATCGCATTCTCCCAACTACGGAAGCTCTAATTGAGAAAGAGGTCGAAGTGTTACCCTAATGTTCGGTTTGCTTGGCAGATTTAAAGAAAATGGAATACCTCTTTCTGGATTGTCCAGTGGCAAGGGCTCTATGGGAACACTCTGGTTTAGAGTATCTAGGCCAAACTTTCCCACGTAAAACTTTTCCATTGTTTCTCAAGAAGTTGATGGTAATGTTAATCAACCCCACCTAAGTATGGTTGTTGTCGCAGTCCTCTGGTGGATCTGGTGGTCCAGAAATTGGGTTGTCTTTGAAGGCAAACAATTTGGGATTCTCGTGTTGATGCAACGGTATCATCAACAAGTCCAGTAATGGATTATTTTGCTAGTAGACATAGTGACCCTGGCCCCCATCTCCCAAGTGAGGAATCTGAACTCGGGTGACACAGCAACATCCACTTGCATGTGGGACGGCTCGACAAGAAAAGGATCTCACTCGGAAGAGGGATGATCATCAAAGACCGAGGATCTATTGTCTTAGCTAGAGGGGTGCATTTGAGTCTATTGATGATCCAACCTTAGTAGAGCTTCTAGTCCTCCGAGAGGCCATCCAACGGTGTCTAGATCATGGGCTCATGCAGATTCAGTTTGAAATGGATGCGAAGTTGGTAATTGACAAGATAAACCTGGTGGATAAGCGAGACAACTACATTGAGGCCATTCTCGAGGAAATATTACATGTTCTGGCACTACACAATGAGTTGTACGATATGTAAATCGGATTAGAAATAGGGTAGCCCTTTTGGTGGTTAGAAAGACCCTTTCTTTATTTCCAACCTCATGTCGATCCTTTTCTTTTAGATCCTTGCTTCAGACCGGGGTGTAATGTGTTTGATATCATTTTCAATCAATATATGATTACCTTTTATAAAAAAGAGGTGTGTACAAAAGTGGTTAAAATTATACATGTGCCTTTTCAACAATCAAGTTATTAGAACCAATTGCTTATGACAATGAGAACCATGCATTAATAAATGTGCACAATATTTCCTATTGCAATCCCTTCAGAAGGCAACAAAATTCTTATTCAACCTCCTCAATATGTCGAAGGGGTATGTCTGTGTCAGCAAACATCAAACCATACCACTACTAATTTCGCATGTTTAGTGTATGAATTTTCACAAGTACTATATTTCAACTTCCAAGAGTTCAAAATGTGGAATGTGGCTAATAAGAAATTGGTCTAACGATATCGTTGTTGATTTTCACTATGATTCTATATTCGAAATCCAATATGAACTTGTCCACCCTCTCTCGCAAATCCCCTAGAATGGCATGAAGAATTTTTTTTTGTAGTTTGAGATCCGACAGTGTTAATGTCTCCCCGCAACCAAGTTTCTCTTTACATGATGCGGGTTGCCCTCTTTTATGTTGTCATTTGTCAATTAAGCGGTGTAAATTCTCTTAGTGGTCTCATACACTTGCGCACACGGTCATATTGTCATGGGTACGTAAAAGTTTAGTTTTTCTTAATAGTTGTGTAGGATTGGGTGCCCATTCAGTTACTGGATCACTAAATGACATTCTAAAATTACTAGATATCGCCCTAAATACATAATTTTACTAATTGTCCATTCCAATTTCTAATTGAAACTCCAACCAAATGACTCTCTCTCTCCTTCCTTATTCTTCTGCCTCCAATGAAAGAATCTCCACCTCTGGCGAAGCAAGCCCTTGTTCCAGCCTTCCCACAAAGATTAAAATGGAAAAACAAAATAAAAGCATATGACATCAATCACACTCGAGTTAAAGTAGGGGAAGTGAGAATGATGAAGGAGCAAATGTTACCAGTGTGGAAAGGAGGATTTGAGCCAGCTCCGGAGGGGCAAATTAGTGGGAAAGACCGGCGAAGTTGGAAAAGTGAAGCTGGAGATGACGCTGCGGCAGGAAGCTTCTGTATTTGGGTATTAGTTCCAAACTTAGTTTGAAAATGCCCATGGCAGCTAG